CGTGATCTCGAATTTTGAACTGGTACGCACAAATTGCGTCATCAAATGAAATATATAAGTATTTAAATCACGAAAGTTTTAAAAGAATAATTAACAAAAAGGTTTTGATGTCTCTTTTAATTCCTTAGAGTGCAAATATACATCTTCAATATAGATTCTAATTCATATTTTGCATACCCAGGTATATCTTAAGATTTTGGATGACACCATATATATTCATAGAATAGCATGTGATCGATGTTTAATTGCGTTTTTTATTCCCGAGAGGAAAAAGTCAAAATATGTCCCAAACGCAGATCTCGTTAATAATATTGCTGATTGGTCGATCAAGTCAATCCACTCCGGAATATCACAACTTGAGAAAAAAAAAACTTTTTTTAACACCGTATGCCAAGGGCTTATGAGGAGGGTAGCGTATCGAAAACCCTTGGCTAGTGAAGATGGGTTCATAAGTGAAAAGTGTAGTGTTTAGATTCTAAACACTTTCTCATACACGTTTAGAAATTTTACATGTTTAGGAAATAAAAATATAAAAAAGAACGTGACAACGAAGTGTACAGAAAAGTGTTTAGATTCTAAACACATTTCAATCAGTATATACAAACATAATAAAAGATCGGACAGTTTCACTGTTCCTTTATTTCGACTTTACTGGGTATGTCGAATTTTCATATAAAATGAAGTAAAGTTTTAATTCACAACTAGAAACGTCGATGATAGTGAAAGAAACACTATAGGATCGAGCTCAAAACCGTATAGCAAATGTCTTTTTCTTATGTACTAGAAGTTTTTTAAATTAAATTCTGCTAGGAACAAAACAAAAGGGAAAAAAAAGAGAAAAAACCCAGATCGACTACTAAAAGAGCACAATTAGTTCCTATCGAAGTAGTCGGGTCCGATTTACAGAAAAAAATAATTCAACAGCAAAGAATTATTATTTGGTCCAGTATCACTAAAATATAGTGTCATGCTTTTCTTTAACTTTAATATACGCTATTGACATGATTGAGAATTGACCGACAGAACAAATACTAGCACAGCTGTTTCAAACTTAACCGTTCTCAAAAAATCAACATATTCTGGTGTTTCTAACTAATGATTTGAAATAGTTGAGAAAAAAAATTTGGAATAAATTAATTGCAATTAATAGCTCAAGAATCCTAAAAAACAGGCAACGTACCAAACAGGGGGTGTGTCGGTGAGGTGCTGCCCCCAAACTGGGAGTCCGGTACTCCCAACCCAACCGGTTGTGAACTCATAGGTGTATCTGATATATGTAATTAAAACCATGCACCATTCTTTAATGTTTTAAATTATCTGCCTAAATGATAAGTTTTATTTCTGATTTAACTGGTTTCAATAATAATAATAAACATTTTAAGTGTACCTTTTGGCCACTTAATCTGCATGGTTAAGGGCATAAATAATTTTAATAACAAACATTATACAGTCCTTAACATTTAAATTTCACAGATCACATTTCTATAACATGACTATTTTCGTCTAGCTGTTTAAGTTTCTTTTTTCTTCTTTTCTTGTTTAAATTTGATATTATATAAAAGACGTGAACATGGTGAAATCATTAAAATTTATATTTAAATAGAATCATACAAACTGATTTTTTATTTTTCTCATGTTACATCCCGGAAATCTATAAAATGGGATTTTAACGTATTTCATTGGCCAGAATCGTTGAATAGAAATATTATTCATACATATCGTTCAATCTGTGTACACGTACCATTTCTCATCTGAGGTATAAATATATTTTTATTGAGGCAGATAAGTAAATACAGAATGAAAGCAATGTTTGATTTTTAAGTGGCGAACTGAAACAGGATTAATATTGAAGAATCAAAATATTAAATTACTACTCTTTTTTTAATTTTTAGCTCTTAAAAAAACGTTTTCAATTATACTTGTACGTATTGTCAAGGATAAGAATTAAAATAACTGTTGGACATTTTAAGCGAGGGTGTGATAGTATGTACAGAATCAGCCAAAACTTTACATCACGCTTAAATTTCGTGCCTACATTATTTCTGAGAGTTATTTTGTAAAAGAATGAAAAACCAAAATAATAATAATAATAATTTTTGGTTAAAACTTAAGAATTCCACGAAATTTTACAGTTTAAAGTTTGTCAGTTCATACAGTATACAGATTATTCACAGTTTATCCGCTGACAAAAAAAAAATCAATTTGACATGCACGTCTAAATTTTTAACTCTTCACATTTCATATAATTTCGAGAATTGCTTGAATTAAAGAAAAAATATTTTTTACGAAAGGGATTTTTTCATGGATGATGGTGGAATTCAAATTAAAGAAAAAAAAATAATATTGTTCTAATTTGCAGAGTTAGAAAGTAAAAAAAAATGCAATTGAGTAGTGTCCATTTAAATTTCAATGTTCAAATGGTGTGACCCTCGGTATCCAAATGTGTACATTTAATTACAACAGTACATGTACACCATTAACAGAACAGTATTTTGTATATCTATTATTCCGCAAGTTCGGATATAATATATTTGCATAACTGTTCACTAGAATTATATGTACAAGTTTAAGAAGATACGTAGAATAGATAAAATCTTTTCACGACCAATCCAACAAGTCAGTTTCCCACTTAATCTTTTCCCTGTGTATTGTAATCAATATTTATCAAATTATAAATGCGTGTATGATTTTATCTTGAATTTGTTTTAAATCCAACATAATAGCAAATTCATGTGAAAAGTTGATTAAATGCAATGGTACTCCCAACAATTATTAACTATATTAAAATAAAAGTACGCTTTTCTATCAAAAAACAAATGTATAAAATGATATTTATAATTCACCGTATGTCACTAGAAATCACACCTGCTTATTAGTACAAACCATCCTTACGCGTACTTTAAAGAAATATGTGCACAATTTTAAAGCAGGTCGAAATAGAATTAAAAATTCATAACATATTTTGGAATGCATCATGGGTCACAGTCTCTTACCAAACTATAACTATAATATTTGGAGTTTTGATAAAATATATTGAAGAAGATATATAAAATTTACTTAACTGCATTGTGCAAAATCATTCCAGTTAAAATAGGTTCTCAACAACATGATACGGAATAGTTTGAATACGAGACGGGCTATTAACAAATGAGTCAATGAAACAAGGGTATCTACAATGAAAGTCAACATTCAGGTAATTTTATGGTCGACAGGATAATCTTATTTGCAAACTCAAACATTTTGTCATTAAGTCAAATATGTTGACTGGCGTTTTCTTCATTGTAATTGTTAGATAATTAATTTCACACTGAATTGTAAATTTAATTTTTTTCTGTTAACGCCCTGATAGCAAGGTTTTTACGAGCACATGACGTGTATAACTGGTCGACAGGGGATGTTCACTTCTCCATGACACTTGATTCCAACTATACTTTCAGGGGTCGATGTTGGCTCTGCTCTTAAGGTGTAATTTGTAGTGTTGTCTGGAATTCTGAGTATTATCGTTATCTTCACATTTCTATGCAATGTTGGAATAAACTCAATCTTTTAGTCATGTGCATTATATCTGATTGTAACAAGTTATTTTGATCTTAATGTATAAAATCAGGGTTGTTCAATGCAAAGTATGTTTTGCATGAAAAAGCGGATAAATATTAAAAAAATAATAATAATCACCAAGTTGAATATTATGTTTTCTCTTACATATTTTACTTGGCATACCATGATTTAATTTATACATGTATTAAAAATTTTGTTTTTTTTCCTTTCATTAAAAGCGTAGTTGATGAAAGCATTAAAATAATCGGTCTAGAATTCAAAATCCAATGCAGTAAATTACAGCCAAATGCACATCTTCGTACGTGTTTTGGAACTTAAACTGTATTAGGATATAATGTGAAAGAGAAGTAATATCTACATTTTTCAAAATTGCTAAAATATGGTTCAAAAGAGTCCCTAAGGTTGATACAGGTAGTAATGTTTACTTTTATTCAGGATTTGCGAAAATACTTAGAGAGGGGGTTAAAATGTCTTACATTGATGAGATTATGTATCTACTCAACTTCTTTGTTTTTTTTTTAAAAGAATGAACTTTTAATGTGTGATATAATACCGTTAAGGTTCATTGATAATCTGATAAGAGAGATAACTCTTAATGACATAAATGTCTTTTATTATTCCTTTATGATTTTTTTGATTTTGTCTGTGGTACTATAGTTTGTATTTCACTTATAAAATACATTTCTTTTGGAAAATCATTAAAGTCAACATTTTATATTTTTTTAAATTGTTGTTTTTAATTTTGCACTCCGGAATATTTAGCTATCGTATAATTGTTTGTATTTCACTTATAAAATACATATTTCTTTTGGAAAATCATAAAAGTTAAAGCATTAAAAAACATTTTATATGAGTGCACTTTTCTTTAAAAATGGAATGACGAATAATTTCTCATTAATAATTTCACAAACTTTGAATATTTATGAACATTTACATATAAGGTTATAAAAAAATTTTTAATGTTTCCATTTGTTTTTTAAATATTGAACATTGAAAAAAGTAGAAAATAGTGTTATCTGGATACATATACACTCTGAGAACGCTTTAATAATCATTTTTTATTCAAATATGCTTCTCAATTTGTCTCAAATCCTTATAATGAATACTTTTTTCATTTATATGGATATATATTTCCTTTCATTACATATTTATTCTTTCTTCTCTTTTATTTTCATTTTTTCCCACTGAAAGTATATCTAAAGAATATAAAATATATGAAATGTTTGCTACACTTTTATGTCTTTGATTCTCAGGTCCAAGTAGAAAATAATAATTATATATCTCAGTTTTTTTCCTGTACTTTTAAATTTAGGTTATGCACATAAACGATTCAATTCACCATTTAAAACAGTTGATCAATAATCCGAAAAAAATCCTGTTCATATGTCAGTAAATTTTGATTGGTTAAATGCGAAGAACTGTTTTCATACCTATCACTATATAAGAAGATTAAATAAAACAGTACAATCATATAGTTTGGAAACTGCATTGGTTTCAAGAAAAATAGAAGATGAAGGTAAGTTTCTTTTTTAAAATGATGTATTGAACAATGATTTATCAAGTAAGATTAAAAAGGAACTTAAGTTAAACTAGTCATATTTTGAAAAATAAATGTTTATTGCAAACATATTGTGTTTGACAAATGTTAATGACAATGGACTATACATTCAACTCGTTTTCAAAATTTCAAGTAGGAAGAATTTGTGAAAGACCTTTTCAGTGAGTCATCAACTCATCAACGATAATTCTCGTGCAGAGGCACTTTACGTTTTACATTTTTAAATAAAAAAATTACCTATTAGTTATTTTTTTATGTAAGAAAATATGTAGCGTCAAGTATTATCATGAAATGCCTTATGTTTAGAATATGTACATGTATTAGTTAAAATTGTTTTCTGCTTTTTGTTTTATATACAGATTTTGATAGTTGCTGTCCTTGTGGCATGTTTTATGTATTCCTATGGTCAGGACACTAAATGCCTTTTAGAAGATCCAGAAGATAGGAAGATTGATGGGGGAAGTCGAGCCCAGACACCTGAAATGATGTAAGTAACGTCTTGTTTAGAGGTCACTATAATTACAGAAAAAATTTAATAATCATTCATGGATGATACTTTCCTTACTGCGAGTTTGAGATAAATATTTTATTTTTTTGTTTTAAAAAGAGATCTCAGAAAAAAAAAACCAACAAAAAAATTATTTTTACTATAACTTTTCTCTATACAAAAAGGATTTCTGTTCTATTATGCTCAGTATTTTGTTATTAATAAGTTATCGCAATGTTATTTTTAAAAATGTGCTGCGCTTAAACATAAATCAGGATAAATAAATTTGAGTCCGCCCCCACCTTGAAAATAAATACTTGTGATTATATGCAGGTAACATTTGTATCATAGTAAGATTATTAAGATGGGAAGAGAGTTGGACACAGAATTTAGGGATTTATTTTATGAAAAAGGTGCTACATAAACAGTGTACAGGTTTGCATATAACACTGACGTAGATAGGTAAAAAAAATCAGACATTGATAATTTCAAATAGTTATGTATGATCATTTATTAAAAAAAAGAACATGTCCCTAGACGCTTTACCCGATGTTTTATATTTATCAATTAGTATATGTTCTAAGTATACAAATTTTACGAATATGAGCTTATGTTGTTCATATGAAAACGTCCTTTCTATTAGCATTAACCCTAATTACTTTGAAGAGTTTTCACCTGTCTATAGATATTTATACGAATCAACAGTTTAAATTGAAAGCTGAGAAACAAATGCTAAGAAACGAAATTTAAGTACTTAAAGGACGTTAAAATGTACAATCTTACAATCAAGTACTTAAAGAAAACGCTCAGTCTACATAAAACTTTACTATGGTGAAACGATTTACATTACTGAAGAATAGTTTGGTGTAAGCAAACAGAAATGAAACACGGTAATACAATTGAAATTTTGCCATGAATAAATAAAGGAAGATAGATTTGAATTATGTTTATACTATTGATGAGAATTTCAAAGATACATGTACCTTATATTTATGTCAAAAGTTCAAATCAATATTACTTTTGAAATAATTTTGAGAATGAATCAATAATTCATCCTTTCTTTACATTACGCAATTATATTATAATTTTAATACACATAAATGACGTTGTAATAAAAAAAAAATCAAGATATTCAAAATTAAAACTTTGACTTGAGTCAGTTTTCAATTGTTAAGGTAAGTCACTCAAATTTGTTATATCAAGGATTTTTTGGGAAGTATATTTTGGATAAGTACTCATATAGTATGACTCAAAATCGGAGAGAAAATAGGGGGTCAGTGTGCATCTTACTGATCTATGGTACAATTAAGTTGACCTTTTTGCACTTAAATTTTAATTCTTTGATTTATTACTTTATCTCTAATTTTATTTTATCAGATGTTACTACGTTAATAAATTTAATCTTATTTTACATAACATAGTTTGAATAATATTTATCATTGAACAAATCTTGCATTAATTAATGCGCGTTTATCATTGTGTGACCTTTTTGCACTAAAAAATAACATATTTGGGGTATTAAAAAACTAAATAGGCAATAAAATATTTTCTTATATCAAGCTTTTGAGGAGTTAAGTGCTGATCAGTCACAGGTATCAAGTAGTATAAAATAATGAAAGAAAAAGTTGGGGTCAGTGATGTTAATTTTGAAATATTGGTCAAAATATGTGATTTTCAGGCAAAAAATGGTGTAAATTTTATCTTGACTTCTTTAGTATATCTTCATTTCTTGGCAAAGTTTGTTGAGGGAAGGTGTAAAACTTGTTTTAAAAATATAAATTAAGACATATATTAAATATTCCTGCAATATCATAACGGAAAATATTCGACGAGTAAAAGTATGTGAGGCTAAAGTTTCAAGACATTAAATTTAATAAATGTGCAGATTTGCAGAAAAAATATCCTTCCACCACAAGAAATAGTCCCTCATAAATCTTGCTTCTTTGTAGATTTTTAAGCAGTTTTTTTGATAAATATTAAAAAATTTACATTGTTGAATATAAATATTTTATAAAAATTGAATTTTAATAAATATTTTTTAAGGAAGAGGTTCTGCGTGAATTTTTCTAAAAAGCTGACGAGTGACATACCTTAAGGTCATGAGACCTGACTTGTAATGCAAGAGCTACATGTAGTTATGATACAACTTGCTAACTTCACATCGTGCTGGAGTGTTGATTCACGCAGCTGTATATTTTTTCGTTTCTTGCTTTGAGTTAAATATAATGGGTGATATCTCAAATGCTTTTCATCTAGGCAAAAGATTGATGCTGCTTTGATAGAAAACACTGAAGTAAAAAAATCAGTGAACGAAATATCAGCCGAAAGAGTAGAACCGATTGAAAAGTAAGTCGATTATTATAAAATATGAGCTTGTAAATAAATAGTTAAATAAATTTGATAAAAGATTGACATTATTGATTTTAAACCTTCTTTTATAGTAAACACTTTGCCCTTGACACTTGTCCAAGAAAACTAGGTTTCATCACTTCCGTTAGTGTAAACAGTGAAACGTGCTATGTTGTGTATCCAAGACAACAGAGGGTGACCTACGCAATCTGTGGAGGAAGGTACGACTTTTTTTTAATCAGAACTATGTAAACAACATTAAAATATATTCTCTATTTTTTTTCCAGTATTCGTTTTGTAACTTCTGGTGTTTTTTTTTTCACATGGGAAATTTCATAATTGAAAAGTTCAATGTTAAAGAGTAATTGGTGTTGTCATGTGTTAATGTTTGGACCAAAGTCAGCAAAGCCTGTATGGCAATATTCATTTTGAAAAATGACTTCTTACAAAATTGAAAATAGGGGGAAACATATAATGCATTACTTTCCAAACTTGTTAGCTTGCTAAAAAACTATCTGAAGAAGTACAATATGACTGAATATAATTCAGAACTTTTTATTCATTCTTTTTCTCATTTCTTCACTCGAATAAATTTCTTACTATTTTCATAGATTGTTTAGCTGTTTTGTTTTGTATGATTGCAGTGATTGCTATGGGAACAAATTATACAGGAGTAGATGCATCAGAAATGGATGGACCAAGCTGAGGTTTTGGGTGTGGTGTCCAAAGTGTGGTTTCCGACTGATTTCTAGGTGGTACCCACAATGCTGTTCCTGCTACAGATGGCGCAGTTGCTTCACAACAGCATAAAAGATATAAATAAAATCTGAACTGCTTTTTTTACTTTAAGTTTTTGTTTTTAAACAGTTGTTTACCTTTTTTAAATTTAGATATTTGATTCTTTTCAATGTTTTCTCTCTTAAATCTTTTTAAAATATTTAATTTGAATAAAATTTTCATTTTTCCTAATGTTCTTAATTTATTTGTGCCGAGCATGTGTTTGCGTAAAATATCAAATTTACCACACTCCAGTTACGGTTGACTGACACCCCGATAAGAGAGATACGTTGCCTAGTAAAATTACTAACATTACCCAGAGTTTATCTTACAAGCGCTAGTAAATGAGATCTTGAATGGTCAATTCAGTCAAACCCGGCTTTCATCACAATTGTTTTAGTGGTCAGTGTTTGCTCTGGTCCTGATCTATATTGTTAAAGGTTTTTTTGAGCAAGAATACCGTTCTTTATCTACTTATTTTTCATGTATCATCTTATTTTACAAGTAATTTGACTGACCATTTTAATTTGGTCCGTCCTCGCAGGTTAATCATTGGATTTTATAATAAGATAATTTCTATGTTTATCACTTGTGATGAAAACAATCTAAATGATATTGATTTTCTCAATGAAATATATGGACATGACAAGTTTTCAAGATAAAAATTCCAGTCACACAATACAATTCAGAAGCAGAGCAAACACGAACATCCAAAATCAGAGGTTAGGTCAAGTGCCATGGATTATATCGGTTTCGGTTATATCTAATTATGAAGAGAATTCAAACCCGAGTATTTTTTTTTTCATTAGTAGAATCCTAAGTCATGATATATCTTTTAAAAATTAAGAAATTAAATGAATATAATCCATAGTAATTTTTATATTAATATGCATATTTACAGAATAAAGGAAAATCATATATTTTTAAAGATTTTGTAAAAAGGGAGTTTAGTAACGAGGGCTAGAATATTGTGGAAAAAATGCTCGGTTTTGTTCTTCATGAGTTATACATGTAAGCGATAAATTTAATTTTTCCAAGGTGATTTCACACAGTGTAAACAAAGGATTATTTTTTGTGTGACCTAACAAAAATTATTTTTTTAACTTTTGAATTTTGATATCTTTAAAAAGAAAAAGACTTTGGAGATATAATTTGACAAAAGTTGAAATAATTTATGGACAATTATTTTTCAAGAAGAAAAACGAATATCTTTTTTTAGCGATTAGAATCGGACTAAGCGGCTTTAACTTTTCGTTTTTAAACAGTCGTTTACTTTTTTTTCTAGATATTTGATTCTTTTCAATGTTTTCTCTCTTAAATTTGGATTTTTTAAAATTTAATTTGAATAAAATTTTCATCTTTCCTAATGTTCTTAATTTATTTGTGCCGAGCATGTGTTTGCGTAAAATATCAAATTTACCACACTCCAGTTACGGTTGACTGACACCCCGATAAGAGAGATACGTTGCCTAGTAAAATTACTAACATTACCCAGAGTTTATCTTACAAGCGCTAGTAAATGAGATCTTGAATGGTTCAAACCCGGCTTTCATCACAATTGTTTTAGTGGTCAGTGTTTGCTCTGGTCCTGATCTATATTGTTAAAGGTACCGTTCTTTATCTACTTATTTTTCATGTATCATCTTATTTTACAAGTAATTTGACTGACCATTTTAATTTGGTCCGTCCCCGCAGGTTAATCAGCTTTGATTGGATTTTATAATAAGATAATTTCTATGTTTATCACTTGTGATGAAAACAATCTAAATAATATTGATTTTCTCAATGAAATATATGGACATGACAAGTTTTCAAGATCAAAACTCCAGTCACACAATACAATTCAGAAGCAGAGCAAACACGAACATCCAAAATCAGAGGTTAGGTCAAGTGCCATGGAGAATTGAGCTTCCCCTTCCACACTGTTACACCGCCCGTGGGCTTCTTGTCATGATCGGGGAATGACAGGAAAATCCGTGGACAATTCGATGTGTAAACAATGATCTAACAATAAGTATAAAATGTAGTCAGCACTTACCGATAGATTACTGAAAAGGTCTTGTATCGAACATAGAACTTACAACTTTACAGCTCAAAACATTTTGAATTTTAAAAGAAATTTATGAAGTTTTGTTTCGGCAAAGTTTCTGGGGACATTTTCAAGTGTGTATTTTAATATACCAGGGTATTACACAATCAAAATTCCTTAACTACATTTCTATTTAGATTGAGAGAAATATTGAAAAAATACCATTGTAACTCGTCTGTGTAGAAGATGAAAAAAGTGTTATGTATCCTTACTGTGTTACAATTAGAGATGGATTTTTATCAGATCTGTCTAAATTTCAAAAAAATATATGCACAGCTGTTCACACAAATACATTTTAATTTGTCTATTGTTTGGCCCAGGAACCCATCTCTTATGTCTAGGTATCTAGCTCAGGTTTTAATCTGACAAGCGGATTATTTAGCTGTATATTATTATATTGCTGTTTAGGTAAGACCATAACCTTAAACCCTCTGATGCTTTTAAGGCTTCAATTAAGTGTGCTATGGTCTAAAAGGTTAGGCCTTCATTGTTTCGAAATCCACCAGCGGATGTTATAAATTATGTGCTTTCGGGTGATACCTCGTAAACGAGATCCCTTGTTTCAGAATATGCTAGCTCGAACATCAACGGAAAACGCCTACATGTCTAAATTATTCGCAGGAAAGTAGTAACGATGAAACATATGGAGATAACGAACAAAATTCAAGATCAAAAGTCCATAAAACAATACAAAATAGGAGCAGAGCAAACACGGACCTCTAAAACTTCAGAGATGGGATCAGGTGCCATGGAGGAGTAAGTATCCCTTGCTGACCTGTCACACCTGCGGTGAGCTTCTTGCCATGATCGGGAAATAACGGAAGAATCCGTTTTCAATTCAGTGTATAAATAATGGACTAAGAATTAGTATGAGAAATGTCTATCAGCATTTGCCTCAATGATAAATTGTATTTGCTGACAAGGTCATTGTATCGACCATAAAACTTACGAAATTATGTCTTTAAACGAGACTGCAAAAATTCTTGTTTCATCAACTTGTTTGTCAATAATTTATCTCGTTTTAGAAATTGTTCATACGTAGAGCATGCTCTTGTGTATCGAATTAACTGAAATACATAAACTCCGTATGAAGGTGATGAAGCTGCATAAATAAGGGAAATTGACGATAGAAAAGTTAAAGTCATCACGTTTATAATAGAGCTAGCTTGTTTGAATACTAGTATCCAAATACGAAACAGATGTGTCAGACTCTGTGGTGTCTTTTGTCTCAAGCTCACCAGGATATATCATATCGACATAAGAATGGAAATTATCATTGTTAATAAACAATACGTCGTCGACATATCTAAATGTCGAGTTGAAAACCAGAGCAAGTGTTTTCTTCTTTTCACGCATGAGATTTTGCACAAATTCTGCTTCATAGGAGTAGATAATAGGTCTATTAAACGGTGCGCAATTGGAACAATGAGAATTCCAATAGATTATTAGAAGACCTGGTCTCCAAAAACGACATAGATATTGTCAATCAGAAACTCAAGCAGCTTTTTGATGTCAACTTCAGAGTATTTGTGTGAACAATCAAAATGTTTTTTAACAAAATGATTTTGCAAATGACCAATGACAAGGTAAGTAAATTTAAAATTTAAAATTTAAATTTAAAAAAGCAGCTGTCGATGATATCGGAAAGCCTGGACTTTAATTTATCGTGGGGAAGTTGTGTATAAAGTTGAAATATATATATATATATATATATATATATATATATATATATATATATATATATATATATATATATATATATATATATATATATATATATATTGTATTTCAAAATCTTTTTGGTTCTTTGGTCAATTAAAAATATTCAAAACTGACATTACATTACTGTCATAACCGACACTCTTCGATAAAAGAGAAAAATTCTTGGAAGAGTCTTTTAAAAACAAGCAAACAACGTCAAGTCCTCACTTCGATATGGTGGGTCATGTGAAGCTTACTTTCTTATTTCTCTGTTTCTGCGGTTGTGCTGCTCATCTTCTCTATTTGTCTCTTAGATCGCTCTGTAGTGTACATCCACGTGCACATATCTGAGCTTTGACCGCAGAGTAAAATCCAAATCTAGGAAATGCTTATTGCGTGGACCCTGAGGTCCACACAGAAAATATAAAAGCGAGGTTAAACCGGATGCTATGGGCAAACGATAGCTTACGCATGCGCGAGGATGCTGGAGACTTCGCCCCTAAAACAACTTGCCCGTAGAATAATTCTCCATATACGAATTAGAATTTGCCGTTCATTGGCAAATCTCGCTTTTAAATCTGCATATTGTATTCATATATTCATTGGTGGATACGAATTTCTCTCTTTTACATATACTTTTATATTATACAAATTAAACATTGATTCTATGGCACAAGCATTTTAAAAAGTAGGAAGAACTTGCAGTATATAGGTAACTTAACAGTTGAATGAAAAACAACATTCAATGACTAGTTCTAGCTTTTAAAATATAGAACAAGTCTTCACAGGCATTAGTTTTGATCATCAAGCCTCGCAAAATAATTTGATATACAGCAATCCAAATACGAAAACCCAATGAGCTCATTTTCGTAGGTAAAAAAAAAATTTTTAGCGTTATAACGCGAAACTTTCGCGAATAAACGCGTAACTTTCGCGTTATTTTGCCAAATAACATGCATATACTAATGTTATTCATCAACATTGATCTTGACTGACAGATTAGAACATGAACACATACGGGAACTCTCAGGAACTTATTTATAAAATATCATTTCCTCAGAAGATGTATGGAGAAATGATGAGAGAATAGGATAGATTAGTCATCAGAATATTTTTTTTTAAACCTTACCATTGAATTAATATGAGTTTTACTTTCTTGTACATGTTTTTCAATTGTTAAATTCTTTTGACTGATTATTTTTTAAGGAAAATCTCTACTTGACACTTTTTTCAAGCTTTTTTTTAATCGTTAACATTTACTACAAATTTACCAGTAGTAAACTAAG